AACAAAATAGTCATTAGCAATTTTCAAATAAACTATTTTAATCTAATTTTAAGAAAATTATTCATCAAATGTGAGTAGCACTGGCAAAGTTAACCAATCCTGATTGATTTTCAGAAGGTGAGAGTAAAGCTGCATTCTGGAAGAGTTGCAATCCATTGCTGTAGGTACACCCACAGTGCTCATGGGGAGGCAGCTCCAGGATTTTGACCCAGTGACAGCGAAGGAACGGTGATGTATTTCCAAGTCAGAATGTTGTGTGGTTTGTGGTGCTCCCATGTATTTGCTGCTGCTGTCCTTGTGAGTGTGGCTCTGGGCTTAAAAGGTGCTGCTGAAGGAGTCTTGCATCAGCAAATCTTGGAGATGGTAAACATCAGAGCCTTAGTGTGCTGGCTGTGAAGGGAATAAAATTTATGGTGGTGGATGGGGTGTCATTTAAATGGGTATCTTTGTGCTGTATGGTGTCAAACATCTTGACATTGCACTCGTTCAAGCAATTGGTGATTATCTGTCACAACCCCAAATTATACTTGAGATGATGGTCAGGCTTGGGCTCGTCAGGAGATGAATTACTTGCTGCAGAATTCTAAGCTTCCGAGTATCCTCCTGTAACCACAGTATTTATCCGACTGTCCAGTTCAGTTTGTGGTTAATGATAAGCCTTAGGATGGTGGTGCTGTGGGATATGGCAATTACAATAATGAGATCAATAGGGATATGGTTGGGTTTTACAGGGGCTGAGATGATTGACCTCCAACAATAAAGCGTGCTTACCTCTGGATTTCCGTTCACTCCAGTGAGAAAAGAGGCAGCAATTAGCTAGATTCGATTTATACGGTTTCTCATGGACAAGACATACCTGAATAGCTTACTACATTATCAGGTAAATGCCAGCATTGGTAGCTGTACTGGAACAGCTTGACTATTGTCAATAGCCGTTACAGCCTTTGTTAGGACCAATAACTAATTCCATCAGTCATTTCTTGATATCGCAGTTAATTAAATTACTGAGGACTAGCAGCCGTGGCATTGGAAACCTCAGGTAGTGTTTGCAATAGACCCTCCACTTGGAACTTGAAAGATGGTTGCAAATGCGTCAGTCTTATTTTTTGCTTTGATATCATTGAGGATGGGGATGTTCGTAGATCCTGCTCCTCCTATGACTACACCAGTTTTTTAAATTGTGTACTACCAATCAAAACTGAATGAGACAAAACAGCAGGGTGTTACTCTACCCAAAACATGCTGTTTCCATTCTTTTGTAAGATTGCAATCTTATTTTCTGGCTTCAACGCATTGTATCATGTCATGTGCTGCTCCTGGCACGCTCATCTACATTCCTTATGCAACAAGGATTAATCCCCAGCCTTTTTGGTAATCTTAGTCTTAAGGATATACCAAATCATCAGACTACAGATAGTTGTTGAATACAATTTTCTGTTAACAAAGGCCCACATCCCCTCATGGATGCCAAGTTTGGAGCTTCTAGATTTGTTCTGAATCTAATCCATTTAAACAATGCCAGTAGCAAATCACACAATCGAGTCTTCTACAAGGACTGTGCAGTAGGCATTCCTCCCAATTCCGTCATGGATAGAAGTATCTTTGACAGATTTGTGAGGACAAGGTCAGGTAGATTTGGCCTCCAGGTGCAATCTGACTAATACATCTTTCAGGACATGGCGAGATGAGTCATCAGTGACTTACTGAGTCACTCTTGCTGATGGACATTTCAGCTCCTACCCAGCGTACATCCTGGGCCCTTGTCACCCTCATTGTTTCTTCAAAGCGACATTCAACGTGGAATAGCACATATTCAACAGGTCAGGAAGGGTGGTAGCTGGTATCCAAGTCAAAGTTTGTTCAAACATTTTGTTTATCTGACATCAAGGCTTTATGGATGAGAAGTTAATATTGAGGACTCCCAGCTTCACCCGCTCCTGATTGAGTACTAGTACGATGGTACCTCTATTAGCTCGGTCCTACTAATACATTAGGACATAATTTGGGATGGTAATAGTGTACTATGGGCCACTAGCTGCAGGTAAGACTTGGTATCTATGATTATAACAGGTTGTTGCTTGAATTGTCCACAGATCAGCTCTCCCAATTTTGGCATATGTCCCCAGATGTTGTTGACATTGACTTTATCAGATGTGTGTTTGTCATTGTTTGTTTTTATTAATAAATTGTATTTAAATTCACTGAGCTGACAAGATTGCATTTGCTCTGGCATGCCCACAGCTAGAGTCTAGAGCTCTGGATTATTAACCAGTAATATTATTACTATGCTTCTTCAAAGCTTAACAATATTGGACTAAGTTTCTTTTCCCCCTAATTCACCCTCTTCACATGTTGCTCTTGCCTTTGCTAAATCTCACTACTGTATATTTACCTGCCATGAATTACAATCTGTCATTTTACTGCCCGTAAACATAGCATTGTTTTTTGTTAATTTGTCGCTACTATTGCGAAGTTGGGTAGAATACTGGGGAGGCAATGGCCTAGTGGTATTATGGCTGGACTGTTAATCCAGAGACCCAGATAATGTTCTGGGGACCTGGGTGTGAATCCCGCCAAGGCAGATGGTGGAATTTGAATCCAATAAATATCTGGAATTAAGAGTCTAATGATGATCATGAATCCATTGTCAATTTGTCAGGAAAAAACCCATCTGGTTTGCTAATGTCCTTTAGGGAAGGAAACTGCCATCCTTACCTGGTCTGGCCTACATGTGACTCCAGACCCACAGCAATGTGGTTGACTCTGACTTGCCCTCTGGGCAATTAGGGATGAGCAATAAATGCTGCCTAGCCAGTGATGCCGTCGTCCTGTCAATGAATAAAAAAAACTTATGGATTGGGACACAGGAAGTTAGAATTTGGTGTTTGTAAAATGTTAAGAGGGAAAGCATTGTGTGGTCCCTTTAAAAGATCATTTGCTTTTCTGCGCTTACAGATTTAAAATAGATGTTTCTGAGCAGCAGCTTGAAAGATTGCAAGTACACAAACAGCATCTGAATTAAAGTATTTATATCAAAAGGCCGTACAATTAGCAGGCCAAGCAGCAGTTTTACCAAGACCTTCTCCCTCGTCCTTTGAATAAAGGAGTGTAGAATCACTGGATCCCCACAGTTGGAAGCAAGCCATTCAGCCTGTCGAATTCACACTGTCCCTCCGAAGAGCATCACACCCACACCCACCACCCTGCTTTATCCCTGTAACTCTGCATTTTCTGCGGCTAATCCACCTAGTCATCCCTGAACACTATGGGTAACTTAGCATGGCCAATCCACCCAGCCTGCACATCTTTGGACTGTGGAAGGAAACCGGAGCACCCGGAGGAAACCCGCACAGACACGGGGAGAATGTGCAAACTCCATACAGACAATCGCCCAAGGGTGGAATCCAACCTGGGTCCATGGCGCTGAGAGGCAACAATGCTAACCACTAAGCAACCGTGCCACCCATAATTGATAGCAAGTAAGCAAACTCCCTTCTCCAGTCATGTGTAAAATCAATTACAAGCAGTGCAATCTTCAGGTGTAATTGACAAAACAATTCCTAAATAATCACCCTTTTAGACAGTAACGGCAGTGTCACTACGGAGTACCATTCATTGTCTAGTACTTCCGGGGTGGGGGGTACTATGCCATGTTCTTCGCAGCTTTCAATATGTCATTGATGATGACGAACATCTCACCAAGGTCGTCACTATGCCTCAACTTCTCACCTTCAAACAGCTGTCTAACGTCAAACAGACCACTGCTCACATCAAACTACCCAGTCTTCAGGAGAAAAGTGTCACAACACCACACAACTCGGCCTCAGCAACCTCGGCAAGACAATGTCATATCAGTGACATGGATATTACCATCACACATGAGAACACCACCCACCATGTACACAATATGCCCTCATGTGATTCAGCCAATGTTGTCTATCTCATACGCTACAAGCAAGGATGCCTTGAGGCATGAAATATCAGCAAGACCATTCAGACGCTAAGACAACGGACAAACGAACACCACGCAACAGTTGCCAGACAGGAATGTTCCCTCCCAGTTGAGGAACACTTCAGTGATCAAGGACATTCAGTCTCCAATCTTCAGGTAAGCGTCCTCCAAGGCACTCTTCGAGATACACAACAACATGGAATCACTAAGCAGGAATTGATAGCCAAGTTCAGTACCCAGCCTCAACCATGATCTTGAGTTCATGTCACGCTACATGTAACCCCAGAATACTGTTCTGTTTTGACACAATCACCTTGATATCTTGTTTTTATCTGTCTACCTTAATTAGTTTGTACAGTTTTGGATTACTTGTTACTTTGGTTAGACCCTCGTCATGCGACTCATACCTATCATGTTATTCCAGCCATTTGGTTTGTCTCAAGCACCATCCTATTTATTGATTTTTTTTTGTAATTATTTCTCTGGGTCATACGTCATCTCTTCACTTGCTATTCAGCTATTGACACTTTACTCATACCATTCGCCATTTTTGATCACCTTCCAAAGACTTGTTATTCAGCCTGTCGACACTCTAATCTATTTGTATTTATCTTTCTTAATCACCTGAAATTATCTTGCCACTGTCTCTCTGCATAAAAAATTCTATGCCTGTTTGCTTCCCTCCTCTTCACCTGATGAAGGAGCAGTGCTCCAAAACCTTGTGGTGATTTCAAATAAACCTATTGGACTGTAACCTGGTGTCATGTGACTTCTGACTTTGTCCATCCCTGTCCAATACTGACACCTCCATATCAATGTCACTATGTGCAGTCCTCGTTGACAGCTAAATTCTGCAGGCCATAAGACAATAAAAGACATACACAGGAGTAAAAAGAATGTACTTTAGTAAGGTCAAAATGCAATAGAAACTCTACTTGGTTTCCCAAACTTTAATCAGCACATGTAAGATAATAGTGGATAAATCAGGGCAGAACTACAGAGAGAGGCAGGAGAAGAAATGTTACAGTCAGCCGATAGGTACACTTACACGACAATGATCATGTTGCTGCAGTAGAGTTTGAACATCACCTCCAATGGGCATCTGTCTGGACAGCGTTTCGTTCTTGAGATTTAACCACTTACTTAGTTCTTCTAATGATGCTAGCAACCTGTTCCAACGTTCTGCATTGGCTTCCAAATGAGCCCTGCAGCAGATCAGGAAAGGATTTTGTCAACAGTGCTCAATTAAATCAACTTAAAGTTCTTTTGTACTTAAGTCAATCAAGTAAAAAGCATTAAAAAAATCAAATTTTTATTTCAAACGATAAAAATTTAGATTATTCCCTGAGTCCTTTGTTCACAAATTACCAACAGTTCTGTCAAAATTTGTATTGCATTTCCAATGCTTTAAACAGAATGGCACCATCAAATCCACTCCCATTGGAAAACAGGTGCCATTTTGAGACCCAGCACAAAGCAGGATGGTTGCAGTTATTTTAGGTCAATCATCTCAGCCACAGACATCACTGCAGGAGTTCTCAGACCCTGTTCCAGAACCTAAAGGAAGATGTCAACTCACTTATTCACTACTTCCATGGCCATCTCCTTTATAACCCTGGGATGTAGATTAATAGGCCCTAGGGATTTATTAGCTTTCAGTCACAATAATTTTTACAGCATTTTTATTTTTAACCGATACTTTTTTCTTCAATTCTTCCTTTCCAATAAACCCTTGCTTCTGGAAATATTTTTGTGTCTTCTTCTGTGAAGACACAACAAAAGTAGTTGTTTAATTGCTTTGAAATTTCCTTGTTCTTCAGTTATCAATTCTCCTGTTTCAGACTGTAAGGACCCTACAGTTATCTTCACTAATCTTTTCTTTTTACATACTTAAAGAATCTCTTCCAGTCCGCTTTTACGCTCTTTACAAGTTTACTCTTGTACTTTATTTTTCCACTCTCAACCATACTTTTGGTCCTCCGCAGCTGAGTTCTAAACTGCTACCACTCTTCAGGCTTGCTACTTTTTCAAGCAATTTTATATGATTCCTCTTTGGACCTAACAATATATTTTTTTGTTAATTTGCCATCGATGGGCCACTTTTCCTAGTACATCTGTTCCTTAAATATTAATCTTTGCCTGATAACCATCATGCTTTTCAATGAGGTTGTCCAGGTTATCACAGCCAACTTGTCCCTTGTACCTTCACATTTCCCTTTCTTTAGATTTTGGATCCTAGTTTTAGACTGAACGACTTCATTTTCTGTCTCTATGAAGAATTCTATCATGTTATGGCCACGTTCTCCTTAAGTATCTCTCACAATAACATCATTAATTAATCCCTTGTCATTACACAAAACTAAATCAATGATAACTTGTCCCAGTTGGTTCTTCAACACATCAGTCTAAAAACCTACAAATTCCAGGAATTCATCAGCCACAGTATTATTGTTAATCTGGTATGCCTAGTCTAAACGTAAATTAAACTCACCCATGACTACATGCATCGCTAATTTCCTGTTTAATGCTGTCTCATACCTCACCAATAACGTTTGGAAGCCTACAGGCAACTCCCACTAATGTTTTTCACTCCTTGTTGCTTCTTGATTTCCTGCGTAGATATCCTTTCTCACTATTGCACTGATTTCATCTTCCATAAATAACAACATCCCACCCTTTTTCCGTTTTGCCTGTCCTTCCAAAAGACTGAATATCCTCAGGATGTTCAGTTCTCAGTTATGGTCACTCTGCAGCATGTCTCTGTAAACACTAATATATTATGCCTGTTTACAACTGTTTGCTCTGTTAATTAATTTATCTCATTGAGAATGCTGCATACGTTCAGATATAGTACCTGTAGACTTTTTCCAGCCCTATATGCCAATAATCCTGGTTTTGTCTGTCTTCCACTTTTGGTTTCTACTTTTCAATCTTTCATTTCCATCTTTGCTTCCCTCACTTGTCTCCCCACTCAATTTCCCGTCCCCGCTACACTATTTTAAATGGAGTGGCTTGCAGGGCTATTTCCGAAGGCAGTTAGAAGTTAATTGTGACAGGATTTTCTTGATTAGTAAGGGGATCAAGGGCTACGGGGAGAAGGCAGAAGAAAGGGGTTGATCAGCGGTGATCAAATGGTGAAGCAGACTTGATAGGCCGAATAGCCTAATTATGCTCCTATAACTTATGTTCTTATGGTTTAACTACACTGCTGAGAATCTAGAGTCACATGTCACAGGCACCAGATCAAGTAAAGATGGCAGTTTTCCTTCCATAAGGACATGAGGGAAGCTGATGCATTTTACAATCAACACTGGTTCCAGATTTTATGAAATTCAAATTCCACCATCTGCCAAGGTATGATTAACACCTGGGTCCCAGAAATGCTACTCAAGTCACTTCCCTCTGCCAGTAATGTCCATAAAACTTATAAATAGTTAGCTTTTATTTATTCTACTCTAACTCATTCCTCTGAAGACCTCAAATGCTGAATTCACCGACCTCCACCCAACCCAGAATCCTGGCTTCCTCCTAAAATCCTTAAAGTGGGAGCTGTTCTTACCTCATAAAACTCCCTATTTTACCTCAAGTTCTCTATCAATTTCAACACTGATGTTCTGCATTTGGTCCTTGCAATGTCAATGGATAGTAAACCCACAGCATATTACTGACCTGATATTGACAGATTTGTTCTTTAGGTCACTCCATCGTTGGTTCATATCATCAAGTCGATGCTGAAGCAAGGCAGCTTCCTCTGAATTTCCCAAAACTTTCACCATCTTGTGTCTGTTGCCATCAATACTCTTAAAGATGTCATTATGAGCATCAATTTCAGCCTGGATATCCTGAAGAAAGCAAAGTCAATATCCTCAAATTTTTTTTCCTCTTCAGACGTGGAGCTGCACACTTTTAACACATGAACAATCTGTGTGCAAAATGTTAATGTGGTTGAACATACAATGGAAGCCTTACAGAAAATCTGGCGCCCAATTTTAAATTTACAAAAATACATTATACTTTTGGCACCAACTGACACTTAGATTATACATCTGACAGAACACCTTGCTGTATTCTTTGCACTTCAATGGCAAATGGAGCAGTGATGGGATTATGCTTTCCCAAGTCATACCACCAAAACTAAATGCAGAATTAAGGATTCTTTACTCTTTGCCACCTCAACATAATTCCCTTTCCACATCAGTGAACTTAGGGGCTTGTTAAAAACTGACAAGAGGGGGCCAAATTGGGGCAACTTTATATTAATGGCTCATATCCACTTAAAACTGCAATGTTATTTGTCCAACTCATTTCACAACATCACAACTGCTGGACAAAAGATTTTCATCCTACCACAGTAGGCTTAATATCAACCCGGGTCCTAAGTGAAAGTACATGCATCAACTTTACCTTAAGACCAAAACTGTTCTAAATTAGTCTAAACCAGTAAATAAACATTAAGTCTTTTCATATTTCAAAATATGAAGAACAAAAGAACAACTGTGTTCAGAACCATGACGGGAACACATCAAAATTAGTGAACAGTTGGAAGAAACCATTGTGATTTTGTACAATTCACTGATTAAGAACATACAGCAACCTGCAAAAGTGGTGTACAGGTAAACTGTTGGGCATGTTTTTGGCAGAAATATTCAAAACTTAAAGTTAATCATGTAGCTGTGTATCTTCTGTGTGCCATGACTCATCCAAGCATTTCTGAATCATCTAATAATTCAAAGTTTGCAGCTAAATTAATTCCAACTCAGCTTGAACTGTATGGATCGTTTTCAGGTATGAGTGTCTCAAGAGGTTTGCCTATACTTTCAAGTCATATGAATTATCGTCAAATTTGTTAACACATTTATCCCCTCAAACCGCCCTACCCCCCACTCCCAGAGAATGGACCGAGTACCACCACACCACCAGCACCCCCCAAACCCTTGAGTGTGGAGTGGGTACACCACAGCTCTCCCAAGGGCAGCACAGTGGTTCAGTGGTTAACACTACTGCCTCACAGCGCCACGAACCAATGATCAATTACAGCCTTAGATGACTGTGAGGAGATTGTATGTTCTGCTGTATCTGCGAGGGGTTTTCACTGACTGCTCCAGTTTCCTCCCACAGTCCAATACTGTGTAGATTAGATGGACTGGTCATGCTAAATCGCCCCATAGCATCCAGTGATGTGCAAGCTGGGGAGATTAGCACATGGTAAATGCAGGGTTACAGGGTTTGGGGGCGGGTGGTATTGGGTTGGATGCTCTTCGAAAGATCAGTGCAGACTCGAAGAGCTGAATGACCTCTTTCTGCACTGTAGAGATTCTGTGATTTTGTGAGAAACATTAATCTCTTCACATTTTTAGCTGTCCACTAATTCAACAAAGTTACAGAAAAGTTTGATTTATTGTTTTGGAAAGAACTTTGAAGTACGTCTACACAGCACGAAAGACCAAACAACACAAAGACGAAATATTTAAATTAAATCAGAAATCCATAACTGTGCTGTACTGATATTTATATGTGCAAATATAAAAAGTATCTGCATCTATATTCCAAAGGCTTAATGGACCTTTAGATATATAAAATCAAAACAATAAATTGTGCTCAGGTTTTAATCAAGTTATCTTCCCTGTGTATACCCAAAGAACTATATATTTCCAGACCACTGATTTCATTTTGGATTTCCAGCATTTGCCATTTATTTGCAGCAAGACCTGGACAATACCCAGTATTTGGCAATAAGTGATAAATAACATACATGCCATACAAATGCCAGGCAATAAACATTTCAAAAGAAAATCTAACCATGTACCCTTTTAAATTCAATGGCATTACCATCACTAAGTCCCCCACTATCAAAATTTTGAGGATCTCTATCGATCATTGAACCATGTTAATGCTGTAGCAACAATAGCAGGTCAGAGGCTACACATTCTGTGGCAAGTAACTGACCTGCTGTCTCCCCAATCCACTATCTACAAAGCATAAATTGGGAGTGTGATGGAATACCCTCCTCTTATGTGGATTAATACAGTTCCAAAGACACTCAAGAATTTCAACGCCATCCAGGATAAAGCAGCCCCCCCACCCCTACTAGAGTTGCACCTTCAATATAATAGCAGACCTGTGACCTCTACCATCTAGAAGGACAAAACAGCAGAGACAATGACGACAACAACACCACCTGCAAATTCGCTCCAAGCCACACACCATACTGACTTGGAAAAATATTGATACTCCCTCACGTGATGGGGTCCAAATCCCGGAACACCTTCCCAAACAGAACCATGGGCTTCCCTACAGTCCATGGTAATCAGGCGTTCAAGGAGGCAGCTCACCATCACCTTTTCCAACGCAATTAGGAATAGGCAATAAATGCTGGCTCAGCCGACATTCCATGAATGAATTAGTCATTTGGAAACATGTAGTACAGAACATGAAGTCTCTGTATTTGCGTTATCCATTTGGATTAAACTCACTGCAAGAAGTGGTCAGTCCAAGTAATTAACCCAATGGGTTGTTGGAGCTGCACTCATCCAGGCAGTTGGAGAGTATTCCATCACTTACTTGACTTCTGTCCCAGGGGAGGCAATGACCTAGTAGTGTTCTCGCTAGACTATTGATCCAGAAATTTAGCTAATGCTCTGGGTTCAAATCCTGTCGTGGCAGAATTTGAAGTCAAAAGGAAAAAAACCGGAATTAAGAATCTACTGAAGAATTTACTGATGAAATTCATTGGCTCTCTAATACCCTTCAAGAAAGGAAGCCTGCCATTCTTACCTAGTCTGGTCTACATGTGATTCCAGACACACAGCAATGTGGCTGTCTCTCAACTTCCCTCTGAAATTGCCTAGCATGCCACTCAGTTCAAGGGCAGCTAGGGACGGCAATAAATGCTGCCAAGTCAGCAACACTCATGATCCACTGGTGAATAATTATTGAAAAAAGATAGTGGATAGGCATTGGGAAGAAAGGAGGCAATGTATTCACTGCAGAATTCCTAGCATATGACCTGGCCTTATAGCCACAGTATTTTGATGGCTGATTCAGTTCAGTTCCTAGTCAATGGGGACTCCCAGGATGTGGACAATGCAGAAATTCAGGAGCTGGTTATTCCTTTGCAAGTGCTGCAACATAGCACTGTCAAAGACTGCTTCTGTTACTTTGCTGAAGTTGTGATTATAACATGATAGATACTAATATTCAGTTCGAAAGTGAGAAACTTGGGTCAGAAACAACTGTGCTTAACTAAAGGGAATTACAAAGAAATAAGAATAGAATTAACTCAAGTAAACTGGGTGGATAGATTAGCGTATGACAGGAAGCAAGTAGTGCAAACACTTAAGGAGGTAATTCATGAATCTCAGCAAAAATATATCCCAGTAAGGGAGAAAGATTCTAAGAGAAGGATAAACCAACTATGGCAAACCAAGGAAGTTATGGACAGTATTAAGTTGGGAAAAAATAAGCATTTAAGAGGCAAAAGTCAGTGATAGCCCCGAAGACTGGGATGAATTCAGAATCCAGTAAAAAGATAATAAAGTGAGAAAATAAGCTACAAGGGCAAACGAGCAAGGAATATAAAAACTGACAATAAGAGCTTCTTTACATGTACAAAATGGAAGAGACACTGGATACTTAGAAAATAAATCTCGGAAAGAAGGAAATGGCAGAGAAGTTAAAAAGATATTTTGCATCAGTCTTTATAATGGAAGATATTTTGGACATTCCATTAGTACTAAAGAACACAGGGGAGGATTTAAGTACCATCACCATCACCATCACTAAAATAGTATTCGACAAACTAATGGGACTAAAGGTAGATAAGTCACCTGGCCCTGACGGCTTGCACCCCAGGATTCTAAAAGAGTTAAGGACAGAGATAGCGGATACATTGGTTGTAATTTTCCAAAAACATCATTGGATTCTCAAGAAGTACCAGAGCATTGAAAACTGCTAAAGTGACATCTATTCAAAATGGGAGGAAAGCAAAAAACAGATAACTATAGTCCGATGAGTCTAACAGCTATTGTCAGAAAAGTATTAGAATCAATTATTAAGGAAATAGCATCAGAACATTTGGGAAATTATCATCTAAACAAGTAGAATTAGCATGGCTTCATGAAAGGGAAATCATGTCTGACTAACTTAGAACTTTCCGAGAAAGTTGCAACCAAAGTGGATATACAGAATCAGCAGATGTGTTGTATTTGGGCTTTGTATTTTGATGAAAGGTTAAGTCATAAAATGAGAGCCCACAGTGTTGGAGGTAGCATATTAACATGGATACAGATTGGTTCACGGGCAAGAAACAGCAACTGGAGATAAAGGGTTCTTTTTCAGTTTGGTGACCCATGACCAGTGGGGTTCCACAGGAATCAGCGCTGGGACTGCAACTGTTTACAACATATATTAGTCATTTGAAGGAAGGAGGGTGGATCCTGACAAGTAGTTCAGAGGGGATAGAATTTGAAATGAATTCGAAGTCAAAATGATTGAGTCAGCGAGTGAGTGAGTAAGTCTGGAAGGTTGAGGAACCAAATGGCAGATAAGACAGAAGTGAGACAACAAGGTGCAGGGCTGGATGAACACAGCAGGCCAAGCAGCATCATAGGAGCAGAGAGGCTGACGTTTCCGGCCTAGACCCTTCATCAGAAAAGGGGGAGGGGAAGGGGGTTTTGAAATAAATAGGGAGAGAGTGGGAGGCGGATAGAAGAGGGATAGAGGAGAGGATAGGTGGAGAGGAAACAAACAGGTCGAAGAGGCGGGGATGGAGCCAG